TCGGAGCCAACACAGATGTCGCTGGCTCCGACGCTGCAGCTGTTTCGTCCCGCAGTCCCAATGGCGTTGGGCGTGGCACTCGCACGGCTCGGTGGTCGGTGCGCCATGCAGCCGCACTGCAACGCCTGTCGGTGAAGCAGTCAAGGCCCACCGCTCCCGCAGCAACGCAACTTGCAATCGGCCACAACACCGCCACATTATCGTCCTTCTCTTTTTTTATTTTATTTTATTCACGTTTTCTGCTTGTTTGTTTTCCCGATCACTAACACAAAAAATAAGTGTGCACCTTCACAAAAGAATAAAATAAAACACGATCCCACCGTCACGCCGCGGGTCAACACTCTCCTCCACCCACCACCATCGCCGCGCAGGGGACCGCAGTCACATCGCAGAGTCAGCACCACAATGCGCACCACACCATCATGCAGTGAACGATGGGCGGGACGCAGCCAGGCATCGCCCCGCTCCATTTTCCCACCACTCAAGTGTTGCGTGCCCGCACAAAGCAGCAAACAGAATCAGAGTGCACACAAACCCAATCAACACCCTCACTCGCTGAAGCACATTATTCGCATGGAGTGACAACATTTAAAAAAACACCAGCAGTAGCAGGCTGCACGGAATTTCCCTGCCAACCCTGCAAAGACACAACAACTCTGCGGAGTCAAAGTGACAGTCCCTCGGTGCTGCCTGCAGTTCACATGGCAGGAAGAATTCCACGCACGCATAGTTCCAAATCCCTCGCTGCTCGAGTGCACATCAACAATACACGTAAAGAAAATACGTGCACACAAGATGACGTTTAAATAATTAAACTCTTCAGCCTGTTTTGTTTGATGGTGTTGGCGGGCAATCCCACACAATCCAATCAAAGTGGCACGCCGAACGGAATGGCGTCCGTCAATCAATAAAAAAAAATGCGACACTGAAAGGGAGCAGCGAAGAGTTGGCGCATGAGATTGAGAGTCCCAACTGAGGTGCCGAGGAGCACTTCGGTGTACAACTGGCCGTCAGGCAGAGAGGACAAATAAAGCAAAAGGGCAGCAAACCCTCTCGTTCAATGTTTTCTAACAGCAACGAGATAAAACAAAAACTAAAAGATACACCAACAAAAAAAAAGTGTAGACAATTTCCCTCTCATCGTAGCCCCATTTATCTCAAAGTTAGACGCTGTTGAAGTGCAAGAAATTATTCAAAACTGAGGAAAAAATTACATCTGAGACGTTTGCGTGATGAGTATCCGGAATACTCTTGACGACAGTGAGGGAAAGGCAGACGCCTGAGTTCCCCCCACATTTGGCCTGACAAAAAAAAAAATCCCACAAACATGCATTTGTGTGGCTGCAGTAAAGCTTTGCCTTGACAAATCAACAACAGTATTAACAAAGGGAATAATAAGCAGGAAAAATCCAGGCGATTGCAAGGGCAAGGCATCCTCACGTTGGAATTATTGTACATCCTAAAGAAGAGCACTTGACAAGATAAAGAATAAGACCATAAAATCATTCTGCGACCACACAGACAGACACACACTCACACACAATCATATCCCTCTCCCCTTTTCAGTTTTATCACACCAGACACAAATAGGCCCAAAACACTCCATCACCCAAGAAATGGATGCAGAAACAAATAAAAATATAAAATTGGCAATAAATAAAAATACTGCCTCCCACTGCAACAGTTTTACTCACAAAAATTAGTCAATGCACAACTGCACATCAAGTTTCTGTCCCCATAGCTTCCATCGATGCGGCAAACTGAGGGCCAAAACTTTCCGGTGGATGAATGGCTCGAAGGGAATGCAGCAGTTTTCCGGGCGTATGGCCTGTCCCAATCAACTGATGTGACACACTTTGCCGTGTGCGGGGCATTCTTGAGAACGTTGTTCGTTGTGCTCTCTTCACCCTCCTCTATGGATGCAATTTCGGTACGAGTGGAAATAAGTGCATCGGCCAACCGATCCAACTCCCGCTTTGACTCTGACTCTGTGGTTTCAATCATGAGTGTTCCCGCAACAGGAAATTAATCCATAATTCGTTTCGCCACATCTTCTGCCTCAATTTGTGCTGTTTCTTTAAATGGCCTTAAATCGATGATAAACTCGTGAGCGCAGAAATCGTTTTCCCCCAGAAAGAGAACTGGGCAGTGGCCGTCAGGACGCTTCTTTAAATAGTTGGCATTTAAAATCGCATGCTCCGTGCACGTCTTGAGACCCCGTGAACCAAGCATCCACATTAATAAATAAGAAACTGGAAGAATAGACGCTGATCCGTATGCCGCTTGAGAGACTTGACCAAAGGGCTGGGAACCACCAACATTTTGAATAAAAACAGAATCTGGCAAGAATGAGGCCAGGTGCTGGCGAACAGCAATAGGACCCATGCCTGGCCCACCACCACCACGAGGAATTGAAAACGTTTTGTGGAGATTAATCTGGCACACATCGCCCCCAATACATCCAGGTGCCGTGTAACTCACCATGGCATTCATGTTTGCACCATCAATATAACATTGCCCTCCATCGTAGTGCACCATCGAAGTAATGGCCAAGATTTCCCTGTCAAACAAACCATACGTACTCGGATACGTTATCACAATGCACGAGAGATTCTTTGTATGCTTTTGGCAAGAATTTTCCAAATCCTTCATGTCAATCCTTCCATCCGCCACTTTATCTTTACAATCACCATCCCTGCCAAGAGAACCGAAGCAAAATTTGTGCCATGAGCACTTTCTGGAACCAAGCAAACATTGCGATGGCTCTCCTTTTTTGAATTATGATACGAGCGGATCACACGAAGACCAGCAATATTCACCCTGAGCACCACTATTTGGCTGAAGTGACACGGCATCTAAAGCGGTAATATCCCTTATTTTCTGCTCCAGATCCAAACACAACGCACTATGTCCTCGCGTTTGCTCCTTCGGTGCAAGAGAGTGAAGGTTGGTAAATTCTGGCCACGACAAGAACAACATGGCGGCAGCTGGACTAAGTTTCACGGTACAAGAAACCAAGGGCACACAACCATGCGTGAGACCATAATCTTTTCCATGAAGACGGTGAATGTACCGTATAAGCTCACTCTCACTTTTGTACTTTTGAAAGATTGAACGCCCAAGAAAGGCAAATTTTCGTAACATTTGCAAAGGCATTGCTCTCTTTTGTTCTGTGAGTTTTGAAAGGACACCTATCACAGGAAGTTTTGGCCCTGCTGCCTCCAAGAGAGACAATACATGGCCCTCGGTACTGGCCTCAACCACCGATATGGAGACGGTGCCATGACTATAATCAACAAAAATATTAATGCCTTTTTCCACGCAGCATGTCACGTAGTCTTCAGGCGTTATACCTTTTAAATTTACGGTGACGGTATCAAAAAATGTACCATTGACCACTGTATGCCCTACAGACTCTAAGCCAACAGAAAGTATTTTGGTTTTATTGTGCATTTCGCTCGCAATTTCCTTCAAGCCCTCAGAGCCGTGATAAACGGCATAAAATGCCGCAACATTTGCTAGGAGAGCTTGTGAAGTACGAATATTGGATGTGGCGCGTTCCCTCTTAATACGTTGCTCCCGCGTCTGTAGCGCCATGCGTGTGGCCGGACAACCCGTCGAGTCTTTACTTATACCAATGACGCGACCCGGAATCAATCGCTTAAATTCCTCCTTGACAGCAAAAAATGCGGCGTGAGGCCCCCAAACCCTAGTGGGGCACCAAAACGTTGGGCAGATCCCAAAACAACATCGGCTCCCATTTCTCCTGGAGGTTTGAGAAGAACAGAAGCCATCAAATCTCTCCCACAACAGCTGACGACACCATGTCGTTTTGCATTCCCAAACAGTGTCGTAAAATCATGAAGCATCCCCATGGCATCTGGAGTTTGTGCCAAAATTCCACAGAGTGAGGAATCGCTCCAATCAATCAAATTTGGATCACCAACAACGACCTTTACTTTAAGGGGCTCGGCTCTTGTTTTTGCCATCTCTACGCAAGATGGGAAGACGTCCCTCGATAATTAAAAAAGGTCATGCGCTCCTTTCGACCATGATGAAAGGCAAGGTACATTGCCTCAGCACATGCAGTGGCTTGATCCAGAAGAGATGCATTTGCCAAATTCATAGCTGTCAAGTCTATAATCATGGACTGAAAATTCAACAGGGACTCTAGACGGCCTTGAGATATTTCAGCCTGGAAAGGAGTGTATGGGGTGCACCATGCAGGATTCTCGATAACGTTACGAAGCATTACGGGTGGTGTGCCCTGGCTCATAGTATCCTTGCCCAATCATGCTCCTTAATAACTTATTCCGTGAACCCGGTGAATGGAGAAGCGAAAGGGCATCCTGCTCGCTCATCGCCGGAGCCTCTTTTAAAGGACTTCGCAAAATATTCTCCGGGATCACAGCAGTCATGCGGTCCGACGGACTTTCCTTGCCAATTATTCAAAGCATAGAAATTGGTCCTGCCGCCGATGGTGCAATATGGCGATTGACGTAACTGTTTGTAGCAGTCCGTCGTACAAACGCCAGTGGCAACGTGGAGAAATGATGAAAGCAACGATACATCATTATGTCAGATATGTGCTCGTCACCCTCCTTCTCTCTCTCGCACACGCGTTAGTTTTCTTTTAATTTGGATAAAAATTGGGCTTCACAGTTAAAAATCCACAGGTAGAAATACAAAATATAATTAAAAAATAAAAATAAATTTAAACAATAATCAAAATAATAATAATAACCCATTAAACTAACAAAAACAACCAAAAAGAATTGTCAAGGAAAATAAGCACGCATTTATATGAGCAATTCCAATTTTCATCCCCGCACACCACACGTAGCCCCAGCGTCCCTTTATCCATGGACCTTCACGTCGGGTATTCACTAAAGTAGGCGTGACAAAGGGCGCCAGCCGCAGTCAAACGCTTCTGAGGATCCAGGCAAAGTAATCTTCGCAACAAATCCAATGCACATTCAGAGGCATCCGGGAAAAATTCACGGAGAGGAAGAGGACGCTTCGGCTCAAAGTGCAACTTTCCCCAATCGGGAAGCAGCACCGCCGATGGCCACGATGTGGGCGTCGGTGTCCCTAATACATCTAATATTCGTGACAACTGCCAAATATCTCCATCGCCTGCAAAAAAAGCACCACCGTACCCTCGTAGAAGTTCCGCAAATACGCACCCTGATGACCAC